CTTGGTTTTCTTGGACCTCCGTTCCTGCATACCACTCGGGCACCGGGACCAGGAGCTGTGCCCGGTGCCTGCAGCCTTCATAAGCACACATGTCCATTCCCTAGTCAGACCCAGATCTCCTGGAACCTGTCCCAGCCTCCCTCATTCCCACCTCCATCCAGAGTTGCCTAAATTGCATGTCTGGCAGAGGCAGGATTGTTCAGGGGTGAAGTCAGGTCTGGCTCAGACCGAATAAGAAGAGAGAAAATTTGCCTTAAAACTTGCCTGGCAGTGGCTTTACTGCACCGTCTGAAATCACCTGTTCCCACCCTCTTGACAGAAATTTCCTTGTGACAGAGAAGGGCAAAGGTCTGAGCCCAGAGTTGACGGAGTATTTCAGGGTTCACTTCAGGGGCTCCCAAAGCAACAAGGACGCTAGGGAGAGAGGCCCAGGGTGGGGATTGGGAATTTAAGGATTGCTGGGAATGGATCCTTTAGGTTCAGGAAGCTTCTGTGCAAGCTGCGAGGATGGCTCAGGCCTCAGGACTGCTCCACCGAGCTGGGAGCTGAGCAAAGTCTTGGTCACGGTGCCCCAAAAGCCTTCGGCTTCAATCTTATGCCCGCAACACACACTCAAAAGGATCATTGTGTTTTGTTTTTAAAGAAAGTGAAATTGGCTTGGTTCTTCATGAGCACATTTGATATAGCTCTTTTTCTTTTTTTCCTTGCTCATTTCATTTTGGGGAAGAAATCTGTACTGTGTTGGGGTTATGAAGAACATCTCTGCACTCACTTGACAGAAATAAGTGTTTTATTGTTTTTCCAAAAAAAAAAAAAAATCATAGATTTGTAGACAGTGTTTTTTTTTTTTTGAGACAGAGTCTCGCTCTGTTGCCCATGCTGGAATGCAATGGTACGATCTCAGCTCACTGCAACCTCCACCTCCTGGGTTCAAGTGATTCTCCTGCCTCAGCCTCTAGAGTAGCTAGGATTACAGGTGTAGTCACCATGCCCAGCTGATTTTTGTATTTTAAGTAGAGACAGGGTTTCACCATGTTGGCCAGGCTGGTCTCGAACTCCTAACCTTAGGTGATCTGCCTATCTTGGCCTCCCAGAGTTGCTGGGATTACAGACATGAGCCACCACCACGCTGGCCGGCTGACAGCATTTTAAATAAAACCACCCTCTACAAAAACAAATAATTAAAGGCTGTTTATCCAGAGAATAAAATTAGGGGAAACTAAGTGCAACGGACAAGAATAGCCAGTTGATCAAAATCCAAATTCCAATCAGAATGACTAGACTGACTTCAAGAGAATAGAGCTATATCAGTACACGGAGTGAATCAGCTAAACTCTGATCAAACTGAAGAAAGACCGTATTTGTGCTGAACCACTTTTCTTTCCTGGCTCAAAGTCACTTACTTTGATGATCTTGCCCCCAGCCTCTCTCTCTGTTAAAGTCAGCCTTCCTGTGTAGTTTTCCCATATATATTTACTGTCAGATGTCTGTGGTAATACTATTAGGGGAATTTAATACACTAGGGCTTTTTTTGTTTTAAAATTTATTGTTTTGATTTTTTTTTTTCCTTTTTGTAGAGACAAAGTCTCGCTATGTTGCCCAGGTTGGTCTCAACCTCTCAAAGTGCTGGGAGTAAATAACTATCACAAGATCTGATGGTTTTATAAAGGGGAGCTCCCCTGAATATGACCTCTTGCCTGCTGCCATGTAAAACATCCCTTTGCTCTTCCTTCGTCTTCTACCACGACTGTGAGGCCTCCCCAACCGGGTGGAACTTTTTTAAGTCCATTATACCTCTTTCCTTTATCAACTACCCAGTCTCAGGTATGTCTTTATTAGCAGCATGAGAACAGACTAATATACCAAGCTTTGGTTAAATACTTCTAACAGTGAGAATTACTACCTCTTGGAGTGGTCCACGCCATCTGCCAGATAGTTTCAGCAGCTGTGGTATTAGAATTGCTCCTCAGATAGGCTTCCTGAAGACCACAGTAGGAGGTATCAGGAAGTTTCTGTGTTTTGGATGCCACATGGGGCCACATGGTCTCAGGAGTTATAATCCTACTGTCCCTGTCTTCACGGGGGTAATCAAGGCTGGACCCATACTAGGGATGTAGGTTGAATACAAGGTTGAAAACTGAAACTTTAGGAATGAACATCAGATTTCACATGTGCCTTCAAAATGAATTAATCAATGTGGTGCTGGTAAGACAAAAGATAATCCTATTAAACAGATTAAATTATAATTAACAAAAGATACACTGTTATCTAATTAAGTGCAATGAATCACACTGAACAAAGGATGGTTATCATCACAAAAGGGCTAGTAATTGGAGTAAGGTTTTAAGAACCAGCACAAAAGAGACAGAGTATCTCCCTTATCTCCAATGAATTACAGAAAGGAAACTCGACTGGCCCAGAGTCCTAGTCCTTAACAGTGGAGGAGAAAGGAAGGCATTCATATTCATCTCCTTGAATCTGCCTAACATCCCTGCAAGGTAAACCCTTTTTCAAAGATGAAGAAACAGGTTCAAAGAGGTTTCACTGCTGGTGCAGAGTAAAGCCAGGACTCAAACCCAGGTCTATCAAATCCCAACACCTGAAGCCATCCAGCTCTGACGCTGAATGACTTCAAGGAGCACCACTCACTAGGATCATCTAACTCCCTGGATCTTGACAGCATACCCTCTATGGAAATTTCTAATATAGCTTTGATTCCTCAAAGAGGTTTCATAAGAAAATGAGAGATTATGGTTCACCCAGCAGTTCTGTAACATTTCCTATAAAGTAACAGCAGTAATAATTCAAGTAGTTATAGCAGTAATGGGAGTAACTGCCAACATTTACTGAGCATTTACTATGACAAGCACATCTTTTCTGTCTATAATCATTCCTTCATGATCTTATCTAATCCCATAACTTTACCATTTATGCTGATGATCCCCAAATTCTTACCATTTTTCCTGGACCTTTTCCAAAAGCCTACCCAATATCCCCACTTGGATGTCTATTAAGCATCTCAAACCAAATACATCTGAAACCAAATTCTTGATTCCATCCCTTAATCCTCCTCCCCACCTCCTACATCTCCACATCACAGTAAATGACAACACCATCCTTCTAGATGCTCAGGCCAAAAACCTTAGGGTCATCTTTGACTCCTCTTTCTCTCATACTCCACATCCAACCAAACCATCAGCAAATCCCATCAGCTCTACCTTCAAAAGATATTCAGATTCAATCACTTCTCACCACTGCCATTGCCAAGCACTCAAAATTTACTCAGCTTCTTGATAATAAATGGCCTGAATAATGTCATTTTAATCTTCATAATAACCCTATTATAGGTGCTACTACTTCCTACACTTTTCAGAGGCACATAAAGGTTAAGTACAAATTACCTGGGATTGTAGTTTATCAATCAGGTCTTTGTTTTTTTTTTTTTTTTTTGAGTTTGTAGAGTCAGATCCCTGGAATCTGATCACCCCCATCAAAGGAATCTAATTAGCTTCCTGAACTTAATGACTTGGCCCCATATGAGGCCAGCCCAGGGAATTAGCAAGACTCTTAGAGTAAGTATACACCCGCTTAACTGTCAAATACCAGTCTGGTAGTGAGCTCCAAAGTCCCATCAAAGTCTCAATGCTGAAATTACCGTTAGTTTCCAAACTGCATGTCTCAGTTTCTCTTTACTCAGTAAAAGGGTATCAGATCCACACTTTTTAGACTTAAGAAACTTGTTAGAAGGTCACATTAATCATTGGAAAGAAAATCAAGCTAAGAAATGAACCCTTCATGCACATACTTAGAAGGCAATCCCTTTCTTTCCTAAAGACATTTTGTCTTTGAAAAGAAACCCATTTTCCTGAAATTGTGTCACCTGGGAAAGGTCCCGAGATGATCCAGGAGGGCCTCTGAGGATAAAGCTACCAACTTTCCACACAATTCTTGAGTAAGCTGATGGGAAAATGGGTACAACAGGACTAGGGCAGGTTGGTTTCCACTCTGCTTCTGACCTGCACCTCCACCAAAACCAATTTTGAAAATCAAATGAATTGATAAATGTGAAATCCAAAAGTTTCATACAAAAATCTTTTATTGTAAAAAAGAATACTCTTTTGTCCTTAGTGGAGTGGTGACATAGGGTAAGTTATAAGGACAGAAAATTTTAAGACCCATCAGACAAAGAAGAATAAGTGCTTTTCAGGCTAATCACAGGGTTATCATTTTAAAAGTTTGTATGAGCAAGATAAAGTCCAGCCTATGTATTTAAAAAATAGGGGTTATATCTTAAAAGCAGTGCCCCTTTAAAAATTTATTTTTATTTTTTATTGTGCCACTGCATTCTAGCTCTGTCACCCAGGCTGGAATGCAGTGGCACAATCACAGCTCACCACAGCCTCTACCTCCTGGGCTCAAGTAACCCTCCCACCTCAGCCTCCTGAGTAGCTGGGACTACAGGTACACACCACCATGCCACCATGCCCATCCAATTTTTTATTTTTTGGAGAGATGGGATCTTTCTATGTTGCCCAGGCTGGTCTTGAACTCCTAGACTCAAGTAATCTCCTTGCCTCAGCCTTCCAAAGTGCTGGGATTACAGGTGTAAGCCACCATGCCCAACCCCTTTTACTCAATCAGTCTGACTACATATCTCTCAAAGATCTGTTTGACCTTACTGTGTACCTAGGGAAAAAATCAGAAGGAATATTCATCAAACTCTTAATGGTCACCTCTGGGTGGTAGGGGCAAAAAGGGCTTTCACTCTCTATATCATACTCTACTTGGTCTGCAATTTTATAATCAGGGAGAACTAATTTTCTAGGAAAAGTATTTGGGGTATAAGGTAGGAAAACCTTTCCTCTAGTCTTACATTAACTGATGCAAGTTTCTATAGAAAAACATATTTCATTATTTATCTTAATTTCATTAATACAATTTGCTCTTTTATGACATTTAATTTCCATTATCAGCTGGTTTCATCCTCTAAAACTTGTAAGTTTTGGAAATGTTGAGTCAACGAAAATTCTAATGCCGCTCTGGACACACTCTCAGTTAAATTGTTCGACTATAATAAAGTCCCACCCTGAGGAAATCTGAAATAGCAAGGATTGCAGAGTATGGAAGAAACTGAATCCCGGTCCCTCCCACACCCATTCTGGAATGCATCATATCACCAACACCCAGCATGTGCAGAATGCCTGATGTATAAGCACCGTGTAAGGCTCTGGTCCCTTCCACACAGCTTGGAAAAGAGGACACACGTCCAACATCACAAGTCAGCTATTGGCTCTAGGAGCAAATACTACACATGACACTGACAATGAGGGCAGAGGAGGAAGAGAAAGGACTTTGAAATTTCTGCTTAAATAGGTCCTTTGCAAGCAGAGGTAGGTCTTACTTCTATATTCCCACAGCTTAGCACAATACTTTTTTTTAAAGTTAATGAGTGCATGGGCCCCACACTTGGGAGAGAGAAAGTTATAACATTCCAAGCTGGGAGAATCATGGCAGCAAGAAAGGGCATGATTGGAATGTGCATGTTTAGCTATGGGAAGTGTAAAGGAACAGAGGGATAGAAACTTGGAAAACCCAATCTGTTAAGAGTTTGGGAGTTGAAATCTTATCTCATAGCCAATGGGAAACTAGAGAGGACTTTGACTGTGCAGAGGCAACTTATTTATGTAACTGTCTTCCTTTCTAGGCTCCCTGAGGTTGGCAGCTGGGTCATAAGGACTCTGGATCCCGAGCATATCCTGGAACATGACAGGTATTCAATTAAATGTGAGAGAAAGGAAAGAAGGATTAGGCTGGAAAGATTATGCTAGTGCCATAAAACTGAAGGTTCTAGAGGAATAAGGAACCAGAAATTAAAGCCAGAGGTGATTTCTTTTTTTAAAAAAAAATTTTTTAAGACAGGTGCCATAAAACTGAAGGTTCTAGAGGAATAAGGAACCAGAAATTAAAGCCAGAGGTGCTTTCTTTTTTTAAAAAAAAAAATTTTAAGACAGGGTCTTGCTATGTTGCTCAGGCAGTCTCAAACTCCAAGCCTCAAGTGATCCTCTAAACTTTCCCTCCCAAAGTGTTGGGATTATAGGCGTAAGCCACCATGCCCAGCCTAAATTATTTACTTAATGCAGATTCTTTGGGTTCCAATGATGAAGATGACATGTTCTGTGTGACAGCAAGATGAACAAGGCAGTCCCAGCTTTAGGGAACTAACAGGTGGCTGGATGAGCAGATTGTCTAGGGCTCAAGTGGTCGCCAGCCCAGGTCTCCTGAATCCTAGGTGAGGCCCCTCCCAGCTAGGTGGGACCGTTTCCTCCCAGTAGAGGCCAAAGGTGCTTTCTATTCACCTTTTTTTTTTTTAAGACAGGATCTTGCTTTGTCATCCAAGTTGGAGTACAGTGACATGATCATGGCTTACTGCAGCTTGACCCCCTGGGCTCAAGTGATCCTTCCACCTCAGCCTCCTGAGTAGCTGGAATCACAGGCACATGCCACCACACCTGGCTAACTTTTTGATTTTTAGTAAAGATGAGGACATTGCCCAGGTTGGCCTTGAACACCTGGCCTCAAGCAATCCTCTTGCCTTGGCCATCCAAAGTGCTGGGATTACATGCATGAGCCACCAAGGCTAAGGCTAGCCTCTATGCACCTCTTGATATATGCAAGACAGTGATTCTCCAAAGACCCCTCCCCTTGTTTCAAGCAGAGTCAACAAAAATCCTCTCACATACTACCATGAATATAGTTAGCAAATGCTGCCCTAAGCAACAGAAAAGCTTGGGGAGAGGGGGTAGTTGTTTACCAACCTATCAACAAGTACTTATCTGCCATTCCAGTGCTTTCACAAATTCTTAGACATCAACAATATTCTGCGTCTTAATTTTAATGTATTTCTGGCTAGGGCAATAAGGAGCAGAAGAAGTAACTGGGAGCATGGTGGGTTTCAGTAAATTTAAGTGCCCTCTTTCCCTACTAATCCTTCATTCATAAGCACTTCCTATTTCCTCCAGTCTGATGCTTCCTGCATTATAATCGGTGTTTCTATAGGACTTCATAATTTTCAAAGGCCTTTGCATTCCATCTCATTTAACCTTCATCACCATCTTTATAAACAAGGCATAGTACCCCATCCTTGCAGATGAAAAAGCCTAGCTCTACAGATTGAATGAATGAAGACAGGGAAAGTGATACTATTATAGTTACTGGTGTCAGTAATAAATAGTATAGGTAGAAAAAAGCTTCCAGTTTGCTGTTCCTTGTAGGCTGTCGTCTAGCCGTTTCACAGTGGAGGCAGAGTGCGCATCATACACTTCTCCATGCTGGCAACAGTAGAAGTAATGATACTTATCAAATGGATGTTTAACCAAAGTTGGGATATAACTATCAGACGTCAAGCTCTCTTTCTACAAAGACCATAATATAGCAGTTTTCATAAGAAAGATGTCAACTGCAACATTCCCCCATTATTATTTTCTAAAATACATTAGAATGTAAGAAAACGTAAATTATTATAAGCACTGTTAAATAATCAAAAATGAATTCACTATTTCTAAAAATGCTTTACCAGCCTGACCAACCCAGTAAGACTCCATCTCTGCAAAAAAATTTTAAAATTAGGCCGGGTACAGTGGCTCAGGCTTGTAATCGCAGCACTTTGGGAGGCTGAGGTGGGCGGATCACAAGGTCAGGAGTTTGAAACCAGCTTGGCCAATACCATGAAACCCCGTCTCTACTAAAAATACAAAAAAATTAGCTGGATGTGGTGGTGGGCACCTGTACTCCCAGCTACTTGGGAGGCTGAGGCAGGAGAATTGCTTGAACCTGGGAGGCAGAGGTTGCAGTGGGCTGAGAGAGTGCCACTGCACTCCAGCCAAGGTGACAGAGCGAGACTCCATCTCAAAAAAAAAAATTAGCTGAGCACAGTGGCACATGCCTATAATCCCAGCACTTTGGGAGTCTAAGACAGGAGGATTGTTTGAGCCCAGGAGTTTGAGACCAGCTGTGCAACACTGCGAAACCTCATTGTTATAAAAAATAAAAATAAGCTAGCTAGACTGAGGTAGGAGGATTGCTTGAGCCTGGTAGGTCGAGGCTGCGATGAGCTGTGATTGTGCCACTGCACTCCAAGCTAGGTGACAGAGACAGACCCTGTCTCAGAAAAACAAAAACGAAAAAGGACAAACACCTGAGGCATGTGTCCTGCGGTAAACGGCAGGGATGGTGGCGGTGGGGTTAGATGCACTGGGAACATCTAAGGAAAACTTGGCTCTGCTGCGGCTCTACTCCCAGTAAGTTGCCATGTCCTCAGGCAAGACACAAAGACGTAGTTTAAACTGAAATTTGTTCTGTATACTTAAAAAAAAATTTTTTTTAAGATGGAATCTCACTCTGTCATCCAGGCTGGAGTGCAGTGGCATGATCTTGGCTCACTGCAACCTCTGCCTCCCGGGTTCAAGCGATTCTCCCACCTCAGCCTCCCCAGTAGCTGGGATTACAGGCGTGCACCACCATGCCCAGCTAGTTTTTGATTTTTTTTTTTGAGACAGTCTCACTGTGTTGCCCAGGCTGGAAGGCAGTGGTGCAATCTCGGCTCATTGCAACCTCCACCTCCTGGGTTCAAGCAATTCTCCTGCCTCAGCCTCCCAAATAGCTGGGATTACAGGTGTGTACCACCATGCCCAGCTAGTTTTTGTACTTTTAGTAGAAACAGGGTTTCACCATTTTGGCCAGGCTAGTCTCGAACTCCTGACCTCAAGTGATCCACTCACATCGGCCTCCCAAAGTGATGGGATTATGAGCCACTGTGCCTGGCCTAATTTTTGTATGTTTAGTAGAGACTGGCTTTCACCATGTTAGCCAGGCTGGCCTCAAACTCCTAATGGCAAGCAATCCACCTGCTTCAGCTTCCCAAAGTGCCGGAATTACAGGTCTGAGCCACAGCACCTGGCCTGTTACCATATACTTTTATAGCATAGTACTTCACATTGATTAAAGGGCCCTCATACTAACTGTGTCATTTAACATACACAGCAGCCAAGCAAAGGAGACAGGACAAACACTAGGGTCCCATTTCTGAGGCTGAGTGCAGTAATGGAAAAAATAAGAGTTTTTATGAATAAGACAATCTGAGTTCAAATCCAGGAATCTTGTTCAACTTTTCAGAGCCTTAGTTTCATACCAAGTAAAACGTAGACAGTACATACACCTCATAGTCTTTTAGAATGAGTCAAAGATTGAGTACTGCCTGTATATAGTAATTAATGTTTCCTTTCGTCATTCCACAGGAATAAGGGCTACAAGTTCACACACCTACTCTGAATGTAAAGCTCCAAGGAGATTATCTTTCAACTCCCATGCTCAACCTCTCCGTGTTCAGATTCAAGAATGTAACTCAGCATCTCTTTAGAAGGTGTTTAAAAGATTGTCACTGAGATGCTCTACTAGAAATTTTTTGTTCAAGTAGATTTGTGAAATGTCACTCTCCTGAAATCTCACAAAGTATGTATGCGTGTATATATGTATACCAAAGGTGTTGAGAAATCATGCAAGAAAGAAATCTATTGAACTCATTCTGATTAGCATTTCCCAAAAGAGCATTTAACAGAATCCTTTTTTACATAATTACCATAAACATCCACACAGACCTTTCTTTTAACCATGCTTTTAGGAACAATGGTTTTGATAAATTCATGTCTAACAAATTATAATAGATAATAGGTTAACAATATTAATAACTAGTAACAGATATTATCATAGGACAGGGCACAAGAAATTATCCTTTAAACGAGATCCCTGAATCATTCTTCTGCAGCCAGTACTGAATTTGCACATTGCCTGACGTCAAACTTGGAAAAAATTGTTTAGGCAACTAAGACATTTTTATTTTCAGATCTCAGAATAAGTCTGCCACAGACACAAAGATTCCAAGAAGTGGCTCATAATGTCATCCAGCAGAAGGGACACTTGGGGAAAAAGGTGGGGGAGGAGTATTATGTTTTGTTGCAAAATTGATGTATGCTGTAACTTATTTCTCAAATTTACATTCAAAAATGGTAGAATCTAATAATCTAACGCCACATCACTACCTCTCCTGTCCTTACCCCTGGTCTCCTGATGACAGTAGAAAGCAAGAGAGAGCCAGAATGCAACAAGTGAGCTGTTAACTATAAACTACAAAAATGAGGACTCCTTTTATCTTTGAAAACCAACAAAGTGGTTACTCTGCCACCAAGGGAAAAAAAAAAAAAAAGGAAATTAATACAATCATCAGTATTTGTCCTGAAATTTTCCACAGAGGTCTCTGGTGTGATTAAAAATGTGGGCAAGGCCAGGCGTGGTGGCTCACTCCTGTAATCCCAGGAGTTTGGGAGGCCGAAAAGGGTGGATCATCTAAGGTCAGACCAGCCTGGTCAACATGGCAAAACCCTGTCTCTACTACAAATACAAAAATTAGCATAGGCTGAGGCACCAGAATTCCCTGAACCCAGGAGGTGGAGGTTGCGCCACTGTACTCCAGCCTGGGAGACAGAACAAGACTCTGTCTCAAACAAAACAAAACAAAACAAAACAAAACAAAAGGTGGAGAAAAGGCCCCGTGCAGTGGCTGACACCTGTAATCCCAGCACTTTGGGAGGCTGAGGTGGGTGAATCGTGTGAGGTCAGGAGTTCAAGACCAGCCTGGTGAAACTCTCTTTCTACTAAAAATACAAAAATTAGCCAGGCATGGTGGCACATGCCTGTAATCCCAGTTACTCAAGAGGCTGAGATATAAGAATCGCTTGAACCTGGGAGGCGGAAGTGAGTTCATCCCACTGCATTCCAGCCTGGGCAACAGAGCGAGACTCTGCCTCAAAAACAAAAACAAAAAAGTGGAGAAAATGCTAAACTCGATTTCTTCTGAACCTATGCTAAGATGTCAAGGTACTATGATTCTTCTAGAAAAGCTTTAAGTGGCTGTTATGTTTAGAGTCCTAAAAGTGTACATGGATTTTATATTATAACCTACATCAAGAAACTCATTCAGGCCAGGCACCTTGGCTCACCTTTGGGAGGCAAAGATGGGCAGATCACTTGAGCCCAGGAATTTCAGACCAGCCTGAGAAACATGGTGAAACCCTGTTTCTATTAAAAAAAAAAAAAATACAAAAATCAGACAGGCATGGTGGCTCACCCTTCAGTCCCAACTACTCCAGAGGCTGAGGCAGGAGGATGCCTTAAGCCCAGGGAAGTCGAGGCTGTAGTGAGCTGTGATCGTACCACTGCACTCCACTGCAGCCAGGGCAACAGAGTGAGACTGTTTCAAAAAACAAACAAACAAAAAACATTCACAGGTAATTTTTTAAAAAATGAAAACCAAAATAGAATTTAAAACCCAAGGTGCTCGGTTTCCTGGAAGATGGATGTTTTCTACTTTGTAATATACTTTGTATATCTCGACTATTACTGTATATGCAAGCACCTCTAAGAAGTACTTGTATCTGCAATGAATTCTTAAACCTCAGGAAGCCAAATAAAAAGGCCAGGCCCAAGGAATTCTTTCAAAAATTAAAGTAACATTTCCTATTTATTTATTCTAAGAGGCAAAGAATAAAGAAGTAATCCGCTATAACGCAGAGTTGTGAGCTTAGATGCAGACAAGTGCTGGTTCACAGTGACATCCTAGAAGGAATGCTCTGGATAAGAGCTTCAAGCTTCTATGGTTTTCTGAGGAAAGTGAACAGAATCTAGACGTGTCCTATACCTCAAAAAATCAGTGCTGTGGACCACAGAGCCTGACAGAGTAAAATAATACAGTGTGCAGTTCGGGAAGGGGTGAAGAGGAACCTCAATCGCCCGACACCAGGGCCACCTGAAAAGTCATCTTAACACTTCGTCTTTCCATTTTAAGACTGGAAGCTTCAAGGACCATTAAATCGCTGCCGCTGCCACGCCAGGAACGAAGGACCAGAAAGGCCGCTCTCACCTGCAGAAGCGACCGGGTGCTCACCTGCCGGGCCAGGAGGCCTGCATCGTCACACCCCGCCCGGGTTGACCTGCTCCTCGGCGATTTTTAGCGTCATCTTCCATCCCTTCCCACCCATCTGGATCCAACCAAGAGCAAGGGCGGGGGAGGGAGAAGCTAGTGCCGCGAGGAAAAGCATTCCTTCAAGCCTCCGCAGGCTTTCTGTCCTTCCTCCCGATTCCACGGAAGAGGCAAAGCCACGCCACCTCTCCTAACCCTTGTCTCTAACGCAAGGCCTGCAATACTTAGAAAAAAAATGACTTTTTAAGTAAAAGTAACATCCCTGCTCACTTCCGCCCCTCACCTTCACGAAAGCAATCGGGGTTGTGGTACCTTCGATATCTAACAGAATCACGGTGACTTCAGCGGGCACCGAAAGCACGACCATTTCCCTTCCGGATGCTACTACCGGACTCGGCCTACTGTTGGGGAGGGCGGAGGGCGGCGGCGCCAGCTGCGGCTGCGGCCCCCGGTACAGTCCTGGGCTTCCAATGGCCCAGCGCGATCTCGGAGCCAACGACCAAGTGCAGCCTGCCACGCGTGGGGAGAGGACACCTCTGCACACCTGGACCTGGAACTGGAAAAGGAAGCCGCCCAGGAGCCCTGAACTCGTGAGCAGTACCGGGAAGGAGCCCGAGACCACGTGGGCAGGAAAAGGGGCGGCCCTCGCTGGGTTCGGCGGGGCTGGGAGGCTGAAAGCGCCAGCGCCGATTGGCCGCCGTCGGACCTCAAACGCGATCCGTCAAAATGGGCCTCGCGTGGGCGGGAACAAAGAAGTGAACGCGGGAGCTCGCTACGCGAGCGCGCCTTCCGCAGACTGGTTGAACGAGCTGGAGAGGCTCGGGGCACGTGCAGACGGGAGCCACGCGAGTGGCGCGCCGGGGATGTGAGTGCCCCTTGCCTTCTACTGCACCCGGCCCCCTCCCCACCCACCGCATCCTACTTTGCATAGATACAGTCATCTGGCCAGCCCCCGCCCCTCCTCCCGGCGTCCGCCCGCCAAAGAGGTCGCGCTGGGCCCGGGCTTTGACCGATCTGCTGGGGAGGCCCGCCGCGCCCCCTTGGCCCGCTAGCCCGGGGCCACAGCGGAAGAGGCGCCCGCGCAGCGCTGCCCGGAGGGGCCGTCGCGCGCCCGCTTCCTGTTCGGCTGGTTCCAGCCAGCTCGGGAACAAAACACGCGTGCGCGCGGCGGGCGAACGCGCTCGCCGCCTCAGCCCCCAGCGCCGGGCGCAATCCGCCTTTTTCCGGAGCAGCCCGGCCGCGGTGCTAGTCGGTAGCAGCGGCCGCCGCAGCGGCTCCTCACTAGCGAACCAAGGGCAGAAAAAGGCGGGGTTGACGGCTCTTTGGTAGGAGTAGGCTGGACCGGACGCCAGAGACAAAGGCTCCCAAGGCAAGAGGGACTGTGGCCCTGCGTCGGCGCTGCTCGGGACTGCTGACCCCAGGACTTTACGCCCCTTCGTTTTTCTCTTCTGATTCCTCTCTCATCCCAAGCCTACGTCCCCTCACGCGTGGCCTCGCTCCTCGCCGGGAGGGCCGCGATGGAGGTCCCGCCTCGGCTTTCCCATGTGCCGCCGCCATTGTTCCCCTCCGCTCCCGCTACTTTAGCCTCCCGCAACCTCTCCCATTGGCGGCCGCGGGCGCCGCGACAGCTTGCCCCGCTCCTCCCTTCGCTCGCTGCCAGCTCCGCCCGGCAGGGGGCGCGCCGGGCCCAGCGTCACGTCACCGCCCAGCAGCCCTCCCGATTGGCGGGCGGGGCAGCTATAAAGGGAGGGCGCAGGCGGCGCCCGGATCTCTTCCGCCGCCATTTTAAATCCGGCTCCATACAACGCTCCGCCGCTGCTGCTGCCGCGACCCGGACTGCGCGCCAGCACCCCCCTGCCGACAGCTCCGCCGCTATGGAGGACATGAACGAGTACAGCAACATAGAGGAATTCGCAGAGGGATCCAAGATCAATGCGAGCAAGAATCAGCAGGATGACGGGTACCGCACGCTTCTTCCCCCACTCTCCCTACCCCAGCGCGCCGCACCCGCCCTTCGTCTCTCGGGATCCTCGCGCCGCCCCCATTCTTTCTCGGAGTCGATTCTCCGCGTGCCCGCTGGGCCCCACTAGCTTGGAGGGAAGAGGAAAGTAAGAGATCAAGGAGGTGACTGGAGAGGCCGGGAAGAGTGGGGGAAGGGCGGAGGGGTTGAAGGAGGAGGGCGGTGGCGTCTGTGTCCCGAGTGCGCAGGCGCCGCGTGGGACCCGGGGGGAGGGGCCGGCTTCTCTGCGCCGCACGCTGCAGCTGCGGCCGCCTCTTCATTGTGTCTCTCTTAACACTCGGCGCGGTTTTCCTGGGAAGAGTTTAGAGGACTGTGAGTTCGGGCACAAGCAGGCGACTGGTACCCAGATTCCCAGAACGTGTTATGATTGATGAGTTCTCTCGGTGGAACGTTGGCTTGACAGCTGAGGACGAGGGTGGACCTAAGATGTGAGGAATTCGTCCTGGAAGTTGGGCCTTCCACTCAAAGGAATCTGGGCAGAACCTTTACCATATCCTATTGGTCTCCTTTGAGCTTTGCTTTATACGGTGCAGAGAGCGATCTGTCCGCTGGTTTGAGTAATTCGGTTGGGATATTGGGATGTTTGTGGTCTGTTGACTTGTGTGACATAGGTTAAGTGTAAACAGATTTAAGTTGCTAACACGAGATAAATGTCCATGTTTTCACGATTTAATTAATTCCAGAACTGAAGGAGTCACTTGAGTTATTGCTAAACTTTTTTTTTTAAACTTTTATTTCTAGTAAAATGTTTATTGGAGGCTTGAGCTGGGATACAAGCAAAAAAGATCTGACTGAATATTTGTCTCGATTTGGGGAAGTTGTAGACTGCACAATTAAAACAGATCCAGTCACTGGGAGATCAAGAGGATTTGGATTTGTGCTTTTCAAAGATGCTGCTAGTGTTGATAAGGTAGGAACTGTTGTGCAATGTGCTGCTTTTGTGGTATTTTGCAAATTTTTCTGGGGGTTATATGCTGCCGTCAGATTAAATAAATCTGTCTTACAGGTTTTGGAACTGAAAGAACACAAACTGGATGGCAAATTGATAGATCCCAAAAGGGCCAAAGCTTTAAAAGGGAAAGAACCTCCCAAAAAGGTTTTTGTGGGTGGATTGAGCCCGGATACTTCTGAAGAACAAATTAAAGAATATTTTGGAGCCTTTGGAGAGGTGTGTGATTATGTTTACACATGTTAAGCTTAATGTGTTTATAAAATGTTAATTCCTGGTCTGTTTCATATAGGGCAGATTCATGTTTCATGTGAGGGTAGGATTAAATGACTGCTCACGTCGCTTCCAGACTGTACCTTGATTTGATGGCTGCTCTCATATTTAAGTACCCACGTTTTGGTTAAATTAATTAGATAGTTGGACTTCTGTGGTCAGTTTTTGGACTGGTTAACTAGTGGCATCTTTGCTGTATAAAATAATCCTAAAGGATGTTTTACTTTTCTCTCAGTGCTTCACATGTACAACAAACCACTGTAGGCTGATGTTGATCATAAAGCAGTGCTGTCTGTATAGAAGTCATCTTATAAGATTAAAATCTTTAAGTTGAAGCTTGAAAAGGACCTGTGGCATTCGGACACTCTGGTAGCATTTTACAATTATGGAATGACCTTGAGTGTGCATCTCGATTTCAGATTGAAAACATTGAACTTCCCATGGATACAAAAACAAATGAGAGAAGAGGATTTTGTTTTATCACATATACCGATGAAGAGCCAGTAAAAAAATTGTTAGAAAGCAGATATCATCAGATTGGTTCTGGGAAGGTAAAGCCATTTAAGTACTTTAAATGAAAATTTTAAGGGGTGGTTTTGTGTGTGTGTGTGTGTGAGAGAGAGAATTTCTCAGTGTGTTTGAGAATAATGATTTGACTTTTTAGAACTTAAGTAAAAATTCTATTTTTATGTTTTTTAATTTGTTTATAGTGTGAAATAAAAGTTGCACAACCCAAAGAGGTATATAGGCAGCAACAGCAACAACAAAAAGGTGGAAGAGGTGCTGCAGCTGGTGGACGAGGTGGTACAAGGGGTCGTGGCCGAGGTGAGACTTAATTCTTGAAATATGACTCCATGGTTTATTTAAGCTGTATACTGCTAAATATGAGTAATCCTGTAAGAAAGTAAAACTTGCGAGGGAAAATGTTCAGCTTAGTGGGGGTTGTGTGTGGTGGTTTTTTCTTGTGAGCTCACTGGTTTCAAAAAAACTTAAAAGTATGGCCACTTTGAGAATTAGTGTCATCACTGATAGGAGACGTGTACCATTACATGTTATACACCATGGCATGATAGGTTTCCTTGGGCAGGAGTCCTTGTTTTAAACAGAACAGTGTACCTCTCTTCAGCTTTAATGAAAAATTTAATGATTTGCCATTAAATTTAGGAAGCTTGATACTGGCACAATTGGACTTTCTGCCCCCTTTTTTATAACAGCTGGAAAAATACTTTTTCAAGCAGATAGCAATAAATGTGTCCATTCTGCCCTTTAAGATTTGCAGAGTGAGGGACAAGAACGCATCATTTTATGTTAGAATTGGGGGTCAGAAGTTGTTTCCTAACAATCATTGTGCATTGTTTCAGGTCAGGGCCAAAACTGGAACCAAGGATTTAATAACTATTATGATCAAGGATATGGAAATTACAATAGTGCCTATGGTGGTGATCAAAACTATAGTGGCTATGGCGGATATGATTATACTGGGTATAACTATGGGAACTATGGATATGGACAGGGATATGCAGACTACAGTGGTAAGAACATTTAACTTAATTTTATCAACCAATGGCATTACAATTCAGTGTTAACATACAATTCCATTCTGAAATTGTGTGTATAGGCTTTCCACTAATTAAAGTGTTTGGAGTTAAGCATTTGAATCATGTTACAATCATAGAGTGATTGTACTAACATTGTGGTGGTTATAAATGTACTAGGATGTATGGCTTATGAGTAGGTTATAATGGGTACTAAAATATATTTTAATATTTTTATTTAGCATGCAAAGATTTGTAGATTTAATAGTTTCTTAATGCGTTTGTAAAGAAACGATTTTGTAGAAAACTACCTTAATGAAATTTGTCTTCTCAAAATAGGCCAACAGAGCACTTATGGCAAGGCATCTCGAGGGGGTGGCAATCACCAAAATAATTACCAGCCATACTAAAGGAGACCATTGAAAAAAACAGGTGTGTATAAGAGTACAGGAAAACAGTAGAAATGTCTAATTTAATTTAAAGATCAATAGACAAATGAAACGTAAAAACAAAATATAATGTAGCCTGTTTTTACTAAATTGTTGATTTTTTTTAATTGCTTTATAAGCCTGTTTTGCCTAAAGTGTCTATAGATCTTTAACTTTAAAGTCTTATCTCACTTTCTTTAGTACTGCAGAAAAACTTAAGAGTTTTTCTGTTTGCTTTTGTGTACCAGGTGGTCTAGAGGAATAATTAAACATTTTAGAACTATTAACAGGTAAAGTACTGAAATGGGTACAACTTAAGGAAAACAAGAATGTTGTCTTCTAACTCTGACATTATACCTTGTTTGTACCCGCCAGCGGGAACTTCATTGCAGGCCGTGTGTCACCCTGACCACGTCTATCTCTGGGGGTCGCACGTTGCGGGCAGAGCGCAAGGCATACACCAGAAAACGCTGTCCTGTGGTATGGTCTCTTCCAACTTCATGTACCAGCGTAAAGATTAAAGTGGAAAACTTCAGACTTTGGCTTCTTTTTTAATCTTTTTGGAGATTAAGTGTCTAAACTTAACTTAAATGGTTTTTTACAGGAGTTAAAGTACATAAATGCCTTTTTACAGCTTAATCATTTTGGTCTTCTGTTTAGTGTTGTATTTCAATTGTGGAGCCTCATTTTAAGTGTTCATTCTTTTAAGATTTAATGCTTGCTTTTTCTTTTTATAGCTAATAGTGAAATCTACAAACCAAAACAAGAACTTTTAAATCTGGGATATAAATTAAAGATCATATGCACAAATCAATTTATGTGCTTGTAATAAGCTTATTAGAAATTGGTGTTTATAATAGCATTTTGCTTGGGTTACTAGAGATGCTTCTAGTAGACCTTAATCTAGCATAGTTGAACATTTGAATATGGGAAGATTGTATTCCCAGATTCTTTCTTGAATATATTTGAATTTAATATCATTTGGGAACTCCAGGGTGAGTTTCTTAACTACCCAGACTGTATTTTC